GAACATTTGGCTACAGAAATTAACAGCAGCCTATCTCTTCAGGAGGGAGGAAACCACTGAACCGTCACTCATATAAACAGTAAATAAATGAATAACTATGAGTTTAGCTTAGAGACCAGAGGAGAAATGAAGAGCATATATGTGGGAGTCTGGCAAATGTGTGCCTAAATCCTAGAACCTGCCACCTAATAACTCTGTGTCCTGAGCAAGTTACTCTGACTCTGAGAAAGAGCTAATAAATTTAGCTCACTGTCACATGTGTAGTAAACAGTAAAATCAGGGAATCGACCTTCACCTCTTTGACTCCAAATCCCATGCTTTTTTCAATACTCTCCAGGCTGAAAACGTTAAAGATGACTGAGGTCACATACCAGAATATACTAGGAAATTCCTAAACAGAAACCATGAGTCCACTGGAATTACACATAAATAATACGTAATATGTAATAAATTCTACTTAAGCTGAACTATAAAATCATGTGTGGTGGAGAACTAAATCTTCAAAATCATTAACATAGCTTCAAACTCCAAAATAAAGTGGAAAGTACTAACACTCCCTAATCTCTTCTAAAGCTTTTGAGATCTATACCTGTCCCAACACAAAATTTAATCACAACTTATCTATGCAGTTGAAAGCAGACCAAAGAATCAGTGTTCAGATTAATTTCCTCTGTAAGCCATTATGCTGGCTCTGTCATCCTGAACGTTGGTGTTCTAGAGTTGTATCCTTGGCACCTTCTCTCCTCACTCTTCCTAGGTAACTTTATCCCTACCAAAGGGTTCCACCTACTCATAAAACTCCATTCTCCACTCACCAAAACTATAATACATTCTCAACTCAGACCTCTACAGTCCAGACCAGGATTTCCACCTGCCAATTATACACTGCCAATTGGCTAGTCCCATTTATACTTCAAAATCAGCATACATCATCTTCCCCTCACAACCTGTTTCCTCTATTAGTTTGTATCTTTCTGAAAAAGCACTGTAAATAAGGTATAAATAAGCCATTTCTGTTTCCAGTTAGAAGTTTCCTTTGCCTAGAAAACAGGTTGACAAACTACAGCCTGCAGGCCAAATCTTACCCATCAACCAGCTTGCCATTTGCTTTTTAAATCCTCCTATATGTAAAAGCCGTAATATGCAAATTTACCAAATTGTGGAACGACTGGTCACTATGATGCGCAATGACCACCAGGGGGCAGATGCTCTACGCAGGAGCTGCCCCCCTTGGTCAGTGCACTCCCACTGCTCAGCCAGAAGCCAGGCTCACAGCTGGCGAGTGCAGTGGCGGTGGGGGAGCAGTCAGGCAATAAGGAGCGAGGGGTCCCGGACATCCCCCAACGGGTTCCTGACTGTGAGAGGGCACAGGCCAGGCTGAGGGACACCTCCCACAGTGCAAGAATTGTGTGCACCAGGCCTCTAATAGTTTTATAAGAACACAGCCACACTAATTTATTTATATACTGTCTGTGGCAGAGGTGAGTCCTTGTCCACAGAGACAAAAATATTTATTATCTGGCCCTTTTCATAAAATTTGCCTACCCCTGGCCAATCACATCCATCTTTTCTTCTTCTCATCTTAACCTCTTACTTGACTAATTTCCATGTTCCTTCCTTGATGATTGCTCTTGAGCTGATGCCTCTTTGAGAAGCCTTCTTTGACACTGCCCTCCTGCACACCACAGCTAAGCTTATTTAGGTGTAATTTCCCTCCCCACAGCACTCCTCATGGTACCGTAACTGCTATGCTTCTAATTTAACTTCCACAGCATGGGTCCCTATACTCATTATCTTCAAGACCTGCTCCAAAAATACCTGCGCTGGATCCAAACAGCAGTACGGGCTAGGAGTTGGATTAAATTCTTAATCTAGGGGTCAGAAAGCTTGCAAGCAAAATGGTCTCTTGTCACAGGGACTCAACTCTGTCGTTAACAGCATGAAAGCAGCTACTCCTCAACGCATAGACATGTCTGCATCCCAACGAAACGGGCATCAGGCTGGAGTTGGCCTGTGGGCTACAGTTTGCCGATTCCTGCCTCAATCCCTTCACCTAGAAATTCTTTATGTTTCTTTCCATCCCAGCCAAGAATATTATCTCCATCCAAACTTACCAAAAGACCCCTCTGCAAACTGCTGACATTACATCAATCCTCTGTCGTTTGCTGAAAGTCTATGTGGCAATGGGAAAACGTTGGAATAGAACCCCTTTCCCGGACCTACTGAGGGAGCTTTTATGTCAGCAGCATGCCTCGGCTCCATCTATCTGGAGGTCTTTGTAATCAGCGGCCCTTTATTAAGACAAGTAACTCTGGGGGGGAAAAAACACCCTAAAAACATGCAAGGGCCATTCTCAAAGTAAATACTTACAATTTTGTTGGTAAATAGGCTGCAGTGTCATCTTTACTTCTGATAATTTCGTTACATTTTTCAAGTGTTTGGAAAACAGTGAAAGTGTCCCCAATGCTATAGAGGGCTGCGAGATTTTTAGCTAACAATTTTCGTGTAGGTGGTCCCGGTGAGCTACTGATCAATCCAGTTAACTGTTCAACAAGTTTTTTCTGTTTTTCCTTAACATCAGTCTGTTATAAAAAATAAATAAATAAATAAATAAATAAACAAACAAACATCAGCAGTTTTTTTACTATGTACTTTTGTTGTCTTTGAGTAAAAAAAAAAATACTTAAGAGTTAGGGCATTCTAATAATTAAAAGATATATTACATTAGGCATAAAAAAATGGATGGAATTGTCAAGATAAGGCGTTCAGTGGGAAATTAATCATTCTTTACTAGATTAAACAGTTTCCTTCATTCCCCTCCAAAAGTTTCCATGCCAACTTACTAAGAAATAACCCACTAGTCCCAGGATGTATAATATTGGGTATACGGACAACTGATGTTTTAGAACCCAGATAAGCTCCTTTTTAAAGTAAACTCAGTAGTCCAAAAAGTTATAGGTGTGTGGAGGAAATCAAAAGAAACTAGTTACGTTGAAGGAGCCTTAAGCAACAGAAAAAACATTCAGATCTACCCATACTCAATACTAAAAATCCATGCATTCATTCATTCATTCATTCATTCATTCAATATGTATTGTGTGCTTATTATATGCCATGTGCTATTTTAAGCATGAATATTCTAGGCAAAAGTGAACTCAAGAATTTACATACACCCTGTAACATGAGAGTAGGAACGTCTCTTCTGGGGAAGGACTAGCCAAGAGCAACCTATGCTACTAACATCAAGCGTTTCTCAAAGAACTGGACTAGTCCACAGGTGACATACAATGAACAAACGTCCCCCTGCCCAGAAAACTTTTCACGACTCCCTCTCAAATTTGAGCAGGCATCCAAAGATCATCGGAAGTCAAGCAAAGCGTCTAATTTTCAAGCCAGAAAAGCAGCGCGCAGAGAATGAAACAGACTGTGCAGGACGAAGGACACAGCGGGAAAGTCTATTGTGAACGCCTCAGAGATATAAATGAAGATACTGGGATTGCTGGACAGCTCGGAGGAACCCCCTGACGTTAGAGACAATGGCGTCAGAGTGACACCAGTCATACTGGCGTGTGCTTCTCCAGTCCCGTTCAGCTGTCCAGGTGGAGACATGACATGGGCAAGAAGGTGGGTCTAAAGGAGGTGTGGGGTTTGCCACAGAATAGAAAAAAGCACAGAGGCTAAATCTCTGTGACAGGGTTCACAGTCTCAAGTCCCATGAGACCTACAACCTTGTAAAACATGTCTTCTCACAGATCATGAACACATAACATTCTCAATTATGTTAACCCAACTGGGAGGGGGGGAGGGGGAGAAGCAATATCATACCTTGTTGGCAGCAACCAAGACTTTATCAAGAAATCGCAACCATTCGAAGATAAAAACTGGCCTCTTTGCTTCCGTGATTTGAGCCAAAGCTTCCTCGTTTAGCAGTAAACTGTGGGCTAACTCCATAACTGAAGTTTCCAATTCACACCTGAAGGTAACAAATTAAAAAGGACTTGTTAGAAGCCCAGCTTTGTGATTGTGGCCGCTAAGACATGACAAGTTGGACTTTCCGTCTCATTTCTTTTCAAGGAAACTTACATAACGTTTTCGAGGCAAAACCTGAGAACTAAATTTTAAAGGACAAGGGCACAAAAAAAAGTAATCATTACTGGGGGGGAGAGGGAGAGGATAAATTGGGTAAAATAACTGAAATAGTTGCAAAGGAGGCATTTTTCCAGAAAAAAAATAAATGCCTACAAAAAAACCACAGTTCAGCCGAAACCGGTTTGGCTCAGTGGATAGAGCATGGGCCTGTGGACTGAAGGGTTCCGGGTTCAATTCCGGTCAAGGCCATGTGCCTTGGTTGAGGGGCACATCCCCGGTAGGGAGTGTGCAGGAGGCACTGATCGATGTCTCTCTCTCATCGATGTTTCTAACTCTCTCTCTCTCTCCCTTCCTCTCTGTACAAAATCAATAAAATATATATATTTTAAAATCAATAAAACATATTCAAAAAAGGGAAAAAATATAAAGACAACATTAAAACAAACAAACCAACAAAACCAGGTCATTAACCCATTCCATGAACTGGGAAACGGAAAAGCACCTGCCAGGCTGACAGCCTCGGTGTTGCTTGTCCACCGCTGGCTGCACCGCACCCTCCCCGCTCCCCGCTGCACCTGGTCCAGGAGCCGATCCAATCGCCCCAGCAAGAGGGTCCCTTCCCTCCCTGCGTCTTCCTCCGGGAACGGGGCGGGAGGCCAGGTCCCCGAGGCCGAAGCTGCAGTGCGATCCCCGGGCAGAGGCCGCCGCGGGCCGAGGGGGCCACTCGGGCTGTCCACCCCGGGCGGCGCGGACGTGCCGGCCTCGAACTGCCCCCCACCCACCCCTCTGGGTTTGCTCGGGGGCCGGGGGCGTGTGTGCGCGTCAACGTGCTTGCTTTAGCGGCGGACGGGGCGGCCTCACCTCCTAGGCTAAGCCGGGCCGGTCGGCTGGGCTCCGGGGTTAGAGGCAGCCGCCGAGGGACCCGGATGCCCCGCCCCCCGCGGTCCTCCCAGCAGGAAGCGAGGAGAGAGCGCGTGCGCAGAAGGTTGGCCTTGCGCGTGCGCACTCACCCGCGCCCGCGTGACCCCGCCCACCGCAGCTTTCCCACGGGCTCCGCACCCGGAAACGCAGGTGCGCGCTCAGGGCCCCGAGCTCCTCCCGCAGGCGGATGGGTGTGCGCCGCCGGCGATGATGTGAGCAGGCCCCGGGCGAGGGGCGCTGCCAGGTAGGGAGCCCGCTGGAGGCCCCGGATGGGGTGGGCAAGGGCAGTGAGCTGTGTGCTGGTGGTGACTAGCCCATCGCACCGCCACGCACGCTCCCACCCCCTGTGGTCGCTGGTCGCGTCCTGTGTGGGCCGCTTGCAGCCGGGAGGGATCGGAGGGGGTAGGGAATCAGCGGTCGCGGAAGGGGGTGTTTGAGACCGAGGCGTTCTTTGGAGGTCATCCCTGGCATCATTTCCAATCCCTTGGCAAAATCCTGTTAGCTCCGCCTTCAAAATGCACCCACTGCCACCGCTGTCACTGTGGTCCAAGCCACCCCCCATCTCTGTCTGGATGATCGCCTGGACACCGTTTGTGGTTAAGTCCAGCCACTTGTCCCATCTCCCCGCTAGGATGTGGAGTGGGGCTCTCGGTGTGTCTGAAGCAGCTCTCTTGCAGCCACCTCCCTGCCCCCTCTCTGCAAAACAAAACAGTGTGCTACAGTGGAACTACTTTAAAAAACTAGGAACCCCGTTCCTCCAGGTATTCAGCCCAAAAGCCTTGAGGTAATCCTTGACATCATTTCCAGTCCCTTGGCAAAATCCTGTTAGCGCTACCTCCAAAATACACCCACTTCCACTGCTGTCCCTGTGGTCCACGCCACCCCCATCTCTGTCTGGATTATCGCCTTGTGGAGTGTATTTTTATGCTCCATGGGAATGGAGGAGCTAAAGTATAGTGTATCCCTTTAAAAAGTACCTGTAACCCACTCAGATCTGCCTAGCACTTTAAAAATAACCTAATACTCATGTGCAGTAACAGGAGCCCTGAGACCTAGTTTTTTTTTGTGGTGATGACAAGACATTTAGCCTTACGGAGCCTTAATTTCTCTAACTAGTAAGCAGGACTAACTAGTAAGCAGGACTAACTAGTAAGCAGGACTTAGCTTGTAGAGATTTAATGATAATTAAGTGGGCTAAAAAAAAAGGGGGGGGATATACAGGGTAAGTGTTAAACCATTATGTGTAATAATGCTATTATTACAAAAGAAGAATCTGGTGGGTGAATTACCACAAATGCTGAATATAATCTTCCACATGTCAAACTTATTATAATAAAAGAAAAATAGACAACCGAAACCGGTTTGGCTCAGTGGATAGAATGTCGGCCTGCAGACTGAAAGGTCCCAGGTTTGATTCCGGTCAAGGGCATGTACCTTGGTTGCGGGCACATCCCCAGTAGGAGGTGTGCAAAAGGCAGCTGATCGGTGTTTCTCTCTCATCAATGTTTCTAGCTCTCTCTCTATCTCTATCCCTCTCCCTTCTTCTATGTAAAAAATCAATAAAATATATATTTTTTTAAAAAAAGAAAAATAGAAAAAACTAAACTGTAACGTTTAAGGATGCACACGTGGGTGATGCGACTATAAAGAAAAGGAGGTGATTAGAAGGAGTGTGAGTGACTAGAGGACAAAGAGGGCTCCTGAGGTGGCCAGCGAGATTCTAGCTTCTGATATGAGTGATGGTTTGCATTATCTTTTACTGTAAACATTATCCCAACATTTATCAGCTTGAATAACTATAATCATTTTTTATATCACAGTTTCTGTGGATCTGGAATTTCTTACTGGTTTAGCTTAGCATGGACTTCCTTAAGAAGTTACAGTGGAGATGCCAGCCCAGGCTGAGTCATTGGAAGGCTGGAATGGCACTGGAGAATCCATTTCCAAGGTGGCTCACTCATGTAGCTTTCAAATTTGTTGTCCACAGGAAGTCTCTGTTCCTCCCGTGTGGACCTTTTTCATAGAGCTGTGTGAGTGTCCTCACTGCAGGACAGCCGACTTCCTTCTGAGTGAGTAATCTAACTTAAGAGTTTGAGTGACCTAACTAAGAGCTGTAGTGTCATTTATGACCAAGCCGCCATACTCCTTCACTTCCATAATATCTGTGTGGTGACACGCGTCAATCAAAGATGTTGAAAACCAAGAAGCAAATATAATTGGCGGCCATCTTGGAGGCTACTACCTGGTTATAAGAGTGTTTGCCTCATGATAATTCATTAGGCTGTTCATTTGTCTGTACAGCCTAATGAATTATCATGTAAGGATACTTTATGTGTAATAATAGTATCCTTACACATGATGTTTTAACACCCAGTATATCACACATTTTTTTAGCGCATTTAATCATCATTAAATCTCTGTAATTTGTACATGATAATTCATTAGCCTGTACATAATGCGGCTTTCTGTATTGATCCTATATTTACATCAAGTTTTTTTTTTAAATATATTTTATTGATTTTTTTTTTTACAGAGAGGAAGGGAGAGAGAGAGAGCTAGAAACGTTGATGAGAGAGAAACATCAACCAGTTGCCTCCTGCACACCCCCTACCCGGGATGTGCCCGCAACCAACGTGCATGCTCCTGACTGGAATCGAACCTGGGACCTTTCAGTCCGCAGACCGACGCTCTACCACTGAGCCAAACGGGTTTCGGCAAGTTTTTTGGTTTTTTTTTTTTTTTAAATAAGACATGACACTGTAGGGAAAATGCATTTATTACCACAAAATTACTAATATTATTAAAGACCCTTTTTCTCATCATTGTTGAACATTAAGAATTTATGATACTTGGGACACAATGGTGTAGGCATTGGCATATAGGGGACTTGTCCTTGTGGTTTATAGCTTAATTGGCAAGATAGACATTAAAAATATTAAAAACTAGTATAGTAATATGTTTTTTCATCCAGTGACCAGACTCTTGGTTGCAGTTGACAGAATTCCTACTCAAACAAGTTTAAGCAATGAGGAAATTTATAAGCCTATGTAGCTGGGAAGAATGCTAGGTCACAGAGTCAAAGAAATCAGGGTCTTGGAAACTAGGGTTGGACCCTCGTTGCTTTTAGGCCTATCTTTGTCTGTTCTCTCTGTCTGGGTTCACTCTGCAGAACAGGATCTCTTAATATGGCCAAGAAGATGGCCCTCAGCAGCCCAACTTCACATATTTGCAGTTCAGAAACCCTAATGAAGAGTTTCTTTCCCCACAATCCACATATTCATACCATGTAAGGAAAGAGGGGCGTCTTGGCCCTGGTTTAAGTCATCCCTTCTCCTGTTGCAGGGACGTAAAGCACTACAGTTGGCCATCTTGTGCCTAAGAGAGTATAGAAATTGTCACCTTCCTCTAGAACAGTGGTTCTCAACCTTTCTGATGCCGCAACCCTTTCATACAGTTCCTCATGTTGTGGTGACCCCCAAACCATAAAATTATTTTCGTGGCTACTTCATTACTGTAATTTTGCTACTGTTATGAATCATAATGTAAATATCTGTGTTTTCTGATGGTCTTAGGCGACCAAAACATTAATAACTGTATTAAAGGGTCGCAGCCTTAGAAAGGCTGAGAACCACTGCTCTAGAACCACATGGAGGCCAAAGGAAAGCATGAACGTCGCCTGGGAACCTGTTAGAAATGCATAGTCTCAGGCTGCAGCTCAGAATCAGACTCTTAAAAATTAGTAACTGTTACCCTGTCCTATTTGATTTGCAGATACTCCTGTTATATGAAGTTGAACATGGAGGAAGAAGAGGACTATATGTCTGATTCCTTCATTAATGTCCAGTAAGTCAATGTGTACACTTCATAGAATGCTGTGTATAAGGCATTGATGTAAACTCTCAAGCAATGACATTAACTTCAAATGTGAGGTTGGAAAGTTACTAATTGCTTTATTGGAACACCATCTACATATCCATACAGTGCTTCAAGGAGTCTCTGAGTGCTACCCATTTTACTCTGCCTTTGACTCTTTTTATTCCCCTCTTCCTAGGAAATTTGCTCCTTTCCTTTATTTCATCTTACTGTCTCTCCTAGCTACTTGGCTCGTTATTATTGCCAACGACTTAGAAAAATTAACCCAAACTTACTTTTTGAACTGTATACTTTCTTTAGTTTCCCATAATCTGGCACCAACCATCATCATTTTTATTAAAATAGCCATTCTCAGAGGTCACTGATTGCATTCTAATATTTGTGATAACACAGATGGTCAGAGAGGTAGCACCGAAATATGAAGTAGTGTCAGGTGAGTGAGTATCAAAGTCATGAGACAGCTTCACGTACTCATCTAAAACGGCCTTTTCCCTTTTTTCTTCAGAGAAGATATCAGACCAGGATTGCCAATGCTAAGGCAAGTTCGAGAAGCCCGTCGAAAAGAAGAAAAGCAACAAGAAGCTAATTTGAAAAACAGGCAGAAGAGTGTAAAGGAAGAAGAACGAGAAAGACGGGACATTGGGTTGAAGAATGCACTAGGCTGTGACAACAAAGGGTTTGCTTTGCTCCAGAAGATGGGATATAAAAGTGGTCAGGCCCTTGGCAAGAGTGGTAAGTCACATCCAGAAATAAAAAAAAGTGTTCCTAACCACCCAATGGTGGTTCACCCATGAGGGCCAGAGATGGCTGTTGAATCTTACTCATCTACACAGAAATCCAAACAACTTAAGCTTCTTAGCCTCTTGTTTGCTAACAAGTGTTATGGAGAACTTTCACCTTCCCACATCCACTTCACACGACCAGGGGCCACTAAGAGCTGCTGGTCAGCCCAGCTCAGCCTCGAAGCCACTAACGATGGGGACGGGCAAAGATTAGAATGGAGACAACAGCTAACCATGGCCAAAGGGAAGGGAAACGACATTGGGGACTCTGCCAGGACTCTGCCCTGTTTGCCCTGTACCTGTAGAGCAGCTGCCGAAGTCGAGACTCCATTCTCACTTCTCTTTTTAGGAAGTGAGACTTTATTAAGATTTGATACTAGCGCATTTGGAAGGCTGGAATGGCACTGGAGAATCCATTTCCAAAATAGCTCTCACCGGTTTGAGGGCAGCTCTCACCGGTTTGGCTCAATGGATAGAGCATAGGTCTACGGACTCAAGGGTCCCAGGTTCGATTTCAGACAGGGGCGTGTACCTTGGTTACAGGCACATCCCCAGTAGGGGGTGTGCAGAAGGCAGCTGATCAATGTTTCTCTTTCATCGATGTTTCTAATTATATCTCTCCCTTCCTCTCTGTAAAAAATCAATAAAATATATATTTTTTTAAAGATATAAAGGCCATATATTTAAAGTAGCTTCTGAAAGCTGTTTTCTTCTCTCCTTTATGTAATTGCTTTGATCTTATCTAAAAAGACTGTCACCCTCTTGGATGTTTAATATAAGTCTTTTACTTCATAAAACACTACCTTTAAGTGACTCAGGAGGCTGTGGGTCACCCTTATTGAGAACTCTGTATTTAAAATGAGGTAATTGGTTTACAGTATTGATGTTCAGATTGCAGTTTGAATATCATTGAAACAGGAGGGGATTTCTGTGGGACAATGTAAAGTTGCAAACTGCTTGTTGATAGTTTGAGGAAGAATTTCTAAAGTAGTTTGTGTTTTGTTCTCTCTCTTTTTTTTTTTTTTTTAGGAGATGGTATTGTTGAACCAATTCCTCTCAATGTCAAAACAGGTATGTATGTAATTATTTTTAGAGATATTTACCAGTAATAATAACTTACGCTTATATCTAGCACATATATTTGCTTAATAAGTATTTTTTATGATGGATCTGTTTCAATTTTTATCATAAGCCCTCAGTAAAATGTTTCTTAGTTCAATTTCTAAACCTTTTAAAATAAAAATAATTTTTAGTGAGTATAAAATTTTAAATAATAAAAAATCTGGGGGGAAATTGTTGTAACCATTAAAAATGTTCAGACAGTAGCCGAAACCGGTTTGGCTCAATGGATAGAGCGTCGGCTTGGGGACTGAAAGGTCCCGGGTTCGATTCCGGTCAAGGGCATGTACCTTGGTTGCGGGCATATCCCCAGTAGGGGGTGTGCAAGAGGCAGCTGATCGATGACTCTCTCTCATCGATGTTTCTAACTCTGTATCTCTCTCCCTTCCTCTCTGTACAAAATCAATAAAATATATTTTTTATAAAAAAAAAATGTTCAGAAAGTATTCTGAAACAGATATATCCATTAAAAGTTTTCCTTAAGCTGGGACCGGTTTGGCTCAGTGGATAGAGTGTTGGCCTTTGGACTGAAAGGTCCCGGGTTCGATTTCGGTCAAGGGCATGTACCTTGGTTGCGGGCGCATCCCCAGTGGGGGGTGTGCAAGAGGCAGCTGATCGATGATTCTCTCTCATCGATGTTTCTAACTCTCTATCCCTCTCCCTTCCTCTCTGTGAAAAATCAATAAAATATATTTTAAATAATAATAATAAAAGTTTTCCTTAAATATCAGATCACCTAAAACTAATACAAAATAATATTGAATGTAAACTGTATTTGCAAAATAAAATTTAAAAACAAATAAATGAATGTTTTTCTTAATACTTTGAACGTATTATATTTGAAAAATATGTTTTATTTTTTCATAATATTTAGATGAAAGTTGGAGTTCTCCAATTTTAAAAAATTGTATAGTATTACTGTCATATTAGATCAAATTAATATTGATTTTGCAAAAAATCAAATTGTGTGCTTAGGGTGTTTTTTTAATCTCTATTTTCTCCTGCCATTCTTATCAAATGATTTTGAGTGATTGTAATCAAGTTACAACTCCATTTAATTTGTTATAACAATATATAAATTGTCACGTTTTGAAATATAAATTTAAATGTAATTTCTCACAGAGTTGTCTGTTTGAACAGGGAAAAGTGGCATTGGCCATGAGACTTTATTAAAACGGAAAGCAGAGGAAAAATTAGAAAGCTACAGAAGAAAGATTCACATGAAAAACAAAGCTGAAGAAAATGCTGCAGAACAGTTCCGGTAAAACTTTGTATTTGAGCTGTTTTTTGTTTCATCTTGCCTCAACGTGTTCTAGTTTTTAATAGATTTCAGAGAAGAAGGAAGAGGGATAGAAACATTAGTGATGAGAGAGAATCTTTGATCAGCTGCCCCCTCACACCCCACTCTGGGGATAGAGCCCTCAATGTAGGCATGTGTGACTGGGAATCGAACTGTGACCTCCTGGTTCGTAGGTTGACACTCAACCACGGAGCCCATTAACCAGGCAGTTTTTAGTACTTGGGCATAGAAAATGGATAAAGCAAGTACAGACCTGTAATGTGCTATTTTTTTTTTTCTTTAATTAGAATGCGACTTAAAAGCAAGCAAGATGAAATGAAGCTGGAAGGAGATCTTAGAAGAAGCCAAAGAGCCTGTCAACAATTGGATACTCAGAAGGCAAGCCTTTTACCTGCTTTCAGTTCGGTAGTGAAGTGTTTTGGCCCCCAGTGTGATTTGCCATGAATTTATATTTAAAAACAACAAACCAAACCAAACATTCCAATTCTGGTATAGCTCATCTTCTACGAAGCAAAGCATCAATTTTCAACCTTTTTCACCTAATGGCACATCTAATAAGCTAATTACTATAACTGTGACTCACCAAGAAATATGTTTTACCCATCTGACAAAAAAAATAGATATAATTTTGAATGATTTACCAAATAAATAATAATAATAATACCTACCCATTTTGTTCCTAAATGACTTTTTAAAAAATCCAGTGCCTATACGTGTATATAAGAATTTCTGGTACCAAGAATTAACCAATCAGCCTTATTATGCGACATGACCAATAAGATGCAACTCTATTATATGACTTATGTATTTATGGACATCAGATGGCTGTCATTTTTTTATTTGACAATCTAAGAAAAAAGAGTTTGGTGTTCCTGACTGAATAGTCGAGAATTGTATCTTTTAAAAATTCTTGTGGCACACCAGTTAAAACTCACTGGATTAAAGTTTTCATTTAACATGTACTATTCAAAATACTGACTTTTCACGTCAGGAACCTGAGTAGTCTGAATTATCCAGTAAGGGTTAAATATCATTTTCACATTTACAATAGTTGTTCTCTGCTTATGTTAATATTGGTTACTCAGAGCCACTATGTATGGAAATTCTATTCACCAGAATATCTGACTAACCAGAATAGCCTATTTTCAGTCTACCTTGTGTACCTCATGTGTCTCTAACTATTAATATCATGGTAGAATACTATCTATTTCAGATTTAAATGATTTCTATCTTTGATTTTATTTTGCCTTTTTATTTTATTTTGATGGTACAAAAGTCTCAAAATTGTGCCTTGGCCAAATAACTGTTGCTTAGAGCATTGTCCCCATACACCAAAGTTATGGGTTCGATCCCCAGTCAAGGCACATACAAGAATCAACCTATGAGTACATAAATAAGTGAAACAACAAAACTCCCTCTCTCTCTCTCAAAATCAATTTTAAAAATGTAGTTTTTAAAGTCTCAAAATTATCTTTAAATATATTGCTAGGAGCAATCTCATTTTTATATATTTTCCTAGCACTTTATTTTGAATGTATGTCTTGACTCTTAAGATTTTCTAGCTTATATGTACGGTATTTATTATTATTAATTTATTATTTTTTTATTTTTCTTTATTGATTAAGGTATTACATAGGTATCCTTATATGTATTATTTTATATCCATTAAGCTATTGATGCCCATAGCTTATTTTCCCTAGTACCGGTAGATTGAACTTGGAGACAATACAGTATTCTAATTGGGCCCTGGCTGGGTAGCTCAGTTGGTTAGAGGTTTGTCTCATACACAAAAGGCAGCAGATTTGATTTCTGGTCAGGGCACATACTGAGATTTCAGGTTCAATTCCCATTTGGGGCATGTAGGGCATGTACAGGAAGGCTACCAATTGATGTTTCTCTCTCACATTGATGTTTTCCCCTCTGTCTCTCTCTCCCACCCCCTCTCTCTAAAATTCAATAAGCATGTCCTGGGATAAGGGTTTAAATACATGTGTATATACATATATTTTTTAAATTGGGTTTTGCATCCTCAGAATTTACAGTGCAGTGCTTTACGCTTGAAGCAGCATCCAGTAAATTTTTAATCAAAAGGATGAATTCGCTGAAACTGGTTTAGCTCAGTGGATGGAGTGTTGGCCTGCAGACTGAAGGATCCCAGGTTTGGTTCCGGTCAAGGGCATGTGCCTTGGTTGCGGGCACATCCCCAGTGTGGGGTGTGCAAGAGGTAGCTGATCGATGATTCTCTATCATTGATGTTTCTAACTCTATCCCTCTCTCTTCCTCTCTGTAAACAATCAATAAAATATATATATTTTTTAAAAAAAGGATGAGTTCATGTTGACACAAAGATACTGGTGATAGGCTCATGTTTAGCTATGTTTAATTGGGAACGATTCTACATTTTCAGAATATACAGGTTCCCAGAGAGGCCTGGTACTGGCTGAAGCTTGAAGAGGAGACTGAAGAAGAGGAAGAGGAAGAAAACAAACAAGATGAAGATGAATATGAGAGTGAAGATTTAAGTGTATGTTTTGGGACCATTTTCCTGAGCAGGCTGTCTCAGCATTGGCACTGTTGACATTTTGAGCCAGGCAGTGGTGTGTTCTGGGGTGTTGTTCTGTGTATTGCAAGATGCCTGTTGCACTTCCCCCTTGTGACATGTCCTCTGAGGGGAAATCACCCGTAGTTGAGAACTACTGCCTTATAGGTTTATTAACTCCAGATCAAAACTTTATCATTTTTCCCTTTAGCTTCAGTTCACCCTCTCACCTCTGCTCTAGTGTGGTAGATGGATTAGCTGCAAATGTAAATTATTTCCATTTTTACCTTGTTTCCTGTTAAACTTGTGGAAGCGATTCTTCTTCCCCACCCACACACAAGACAAGCAAAACTCAATTCAAAGGAAGAGGAGATTATTCCAGAAATAACCACATGGTTACATGTCCGTAAGACTTTTGTAGGAAACATTCAAAATTTGAAAAACCTATGTACCACTTAAATGGGAGACCACTGATGAGAACTTGAATGGCACAGGCAGACAATGTTCTCCCTCACCCCACAGGGGAAGGTAGATTCTTTGAAAGTAGAAGTGGTCTTTAAACGACCCTTATCCTAACAGGGCCAGCCAAATTCTATTTCTGAATGTTAACAATGAGTCTCAATTCAGTCTGAAAACTTGTGAAAATAATCAGGGTAGCTGGTAAACTGGGACACATTCTAAAATATTCTGCCTTTCACACCTCTCCTAACTGGTAGAGTGTGTAGTGGAAGATTTACAGCCTTGGGGTAGGTCAGCATGATCCAAGAGACCAGAAAACCAAGTTCCTGGTCAATGTGAACCATTAATGTGCTTGTGTCCTGTTTGTAGGTACTGGACAAATTACAGATATTGACGAGTTATTTAAGAGAAGAACATCTGTATTGTATTTGGTGTGGAACAGCCTATGAAGGTAAGAAAATGCTTTAAACTTTTTAAAAATATTGGATACAAATGCTCTTTGATTTTCAACTTTCTTTTTTTTTTTTTATGAAAGTCATATTTTCCATAGATAATGGAAATTTCTTATCCTATCCAAAAGGTAATGTAGAATCAATGTCTTAAATAAGTAATAAGTATAGAAATAATTGCCTTGTAAAAGGTGTTTTTAACTTTTTGGAAACAGTGCAGAAGGGAGTTTTTTAGTCTTTTACTTAAGAAAAAATTTGATTCACTTAAGGATGATAATTTTTTATGCTTTATTTTTAATCCTTCTTAAGTTATAGATACTTGAAAGATATATTAACTTTTTAGAACTCATTATTATATAAATAGAATATTTGTCTCTGAGCCATGAAAGTCAGCTTGTTGAAAGACACTTTTTGTTTTGTTTTTAATTTTAGAAAGAAATGGTTTAAAACTTGTCATATGTATTACAGAGCCAAGTGCTTTCCCTTCAAATACATTTGCCCAGGCTGACTTATTAACTTATTAATCTTATTTAAAGATTTTGAACTTGAGAGTGAAAATTTTTTTTAACATATTTTATTGATTTTTCACAGAGAGGAAGGGAGAGAGATAGAGAGTTAGAAACATCGATGAGAGAGAAACATCGATCAGCTGCCTCTTACACACACCCCTCTGGGGATGTGCCCACAACCAAGGTACATGCCCTTGACCAGAATCGAACCTGGGACCTTTCAGTCCGCAGGCCGATGCTCTATCCGGTGAGCCAAACTGGTTTTGGCAGTTATTGGTTTGTTTGTTTTTTACTAGTATCTTTTCCTGGTTTAACAAGAGCAAACAAAGCTACAAAATGCATGTTATGTTGAAATAATTTTCTAGAATAGTTCACAAGTCTTCTATTTTCTTCATGTAAATTACAGATAAAGAAGACCTGTCTTCAAATTGCCCAGGACCGACTTCTACAGATCATGACTAAGTTTCTCAATGAAGTAGAAACTTGGAAAATGCTGTTGTTTCCTAGACAGTTAAGCAGTTAGAATTCCCAAAAATTTTTATGCCAAATCTTTGTTTTTGTGGGGGGTTTTTTGCACTGTAGAAGTACTTTGTACTTTGGAATATAAAAGTTCATGGACTCCAATAAAGTAATGGAATACTTTTTCAGAACACCAGATGGGCCATTACAAGTTATGGCTCTATTGTGATGCTTATGGAATTTAAGGACATCAACAGGTAACTGTTATTCTCCACTTTGGAACAAGTTGAGAAATAAGATGTGAAAGATACCACAATATCAGCTTTATTGTCCTTGAAGCTGAAACAGAGAGCAAGGCTGACGATCCACCAGGGACTGGGCCTCACGTGCTAAGTTCAGTCTCCCAAAATCCCTCATCAGATAAGCAGACACCCTTGCCCTGGCCGGTTTGGCTCAGTGAATACACAGCCCGCCCATTGAAGGGTCCTGGATTCACTTCCTGCCAAGGGTTCTCTCTCACATCGATGTTTCCTCCCCTCCACTCTCTCTAAAATTCAATGGAAGAATATCCTCAGGTGAGGATTAACAAACAATCAAAAAGACACCCCTCTACGGAGAGGGTTCACGGAGCTTGTTCCCACACTTCTCAGAGCTCACTGCCTTAAAACAGCCCATTCCATTGCTGGGTAGGTCTAAGCAATTTCAGAGTTACTTTTCCGTCTTGAGCTGAAATCTGCTTCCCTATGATTTAACTGAATACATCTAAAGACCTATTTTGGCACACCTCTACAGAGCTCCGCCCGAGGTCGGGCACCAAAACGGTGAACTTTTTAAAAAGTGATTTTGATTCGCTAATCTAGGACAGTTCCTAGATGTCTGTATTCAGAGTTCTAAGAATGAGTCTGTGAAGCACCTGTGGGTGAGAACTAATGCTGTAGTTAACTGTAGGGCATTGCTGCTCTCGGGATAGCACTGTGACCTCGCCTGTACAGTTTTACCGCTCCCCTGTCAGTAGCAAAGAGCAAGAGGTCAACCTCTTCTCCCTTGTGTTGGAAACAGCACACACGAGAACATGGCAAACACTCAGCTACACGGGCACAAGCAAATCCATAGCACAACGTGTTTTAGCCTCCGACCTAACATGACCCAGTTCATTTGTCCTCAAGTTGAACTCGGGGAGCTTTAAAAAATAATACGAGGGTCCCGCCCCCAGAGGTACTGAGGTCATTGCTCCCTGGGGCCTTGGCATCACTGCCCTTGAGTCTAAGAGGCAGCAGAGCTTGAGAACCACTTACCTGGTTAACTTCTGGGCCTGAGTTCTTCATACAGAGCATGAGTCATTTTTATGAATACATGTACATATATAAAATATGGGGGACATCTGTAATACTGTCAGCAATAATGTTAAAAATATATTGGAGGTCATACAGTTAATAATGCTGTTGAATATTGTTTCATTTAAAAATAATGCTGTTGCCGAAACCGGTTTGGCTCAGTGGTAAGAGCGTCGGTCTGCGGACTGAAAGGTCCCAGGTTCGATTCCCGTCAGGGGCATGTACGTTGGTTGCGGGTACATCCCTGGTAGGGGGTGTGCAAGAGGCAGCTGGTTGGTATTTTTAGCTATCTCTCTCCCTTCCTCTCTGTAAAAAAATCAATAAAAGTATATTTAAAAAAAATAATAATGCTGTTGAATATCTGTTTCATTTAAAAATAATAAAACTATGTTAATAACTAAAAGGAGTACATCTTTCCCTCAGGTTTTAGTCACATCCTCTCCTGTCATTTCAGCCAATGTACCTATATTCTTTCCGTCAGTCTCAAAGCCATGTGGATTGTTTCACATTGGAATTAGGAACTGGCTTCCTTGTCTCCTCTTAGTGACTTTGGCGGACAGCCACCACCTGCCCAGCGGCCTAGAATATTCTGAGTATGTTCATGAACAACTCTTCTGAGAATGGAGAATAATGTTGGTGGCCCCAGCACTCACCAGAGGGTGATCTGGATTTCCAGGCCCAGGGCCTGCCTTGGAGAGTGAGAGACACCCCACCATTCTTGTCCATCACTGGTTCCAAATGAAGGCTTTCAACATGAGTAAAAATGTTTTATTCGTATAGGCCTTTTATGAGTTCATAACTAGACAATAATGAAAGGGAAGCGAAACATTGAAAATAAATTTTTAATCATCTTTAGAACATCTACATGAAATTTGAAACAAGTAAATTTTAACGTCATTTACTTTTGTTCATATTATGCTGTTTATTTTCAAAGTCCTATCTATACAATTTCTAAAATGTTTCATTTTCCTCATTTCAAATCCCACATACTGGAGCTTCTGGAATTCAAAACAAGTAGATTTCAGGGTAGCAAACTGATTTGCCTTACAGACCTTTAAGTGTTATTTGCCCAACATTTAATACTTAACATTTTAAAGTGGACATTTAGTATTCGATGTATTTTGTAAGTTCGATCATGTAAAATTAACACTCTCCACCCATTCAAAAGCACATAATAGAGTTCCTGCTTTATGCAGGGCAGTGTACTCGATGTCTTGGCTATACCAAAAGCAAGAGTGCCTGTCCCTGCTCTCCAGCAATTCACAGCATGAGCTGAACAGCCATGTGGGAATAGCTGCGCTTTGAGGCCAACTGGTAGGTAAGCACAATACAGAGGCACTACACAATGGGAGGGCTAGGAGGAAGTTTCATTCTGAGAGGGAGATGGTGGAACACTATGGAAATAGCACTGAATTTGGGTTCTGAACATCACTTTGATAGCAAAGTAGTGAGGAAGGAGTTACAACATGACCCAGAAGTTCCACTCTTAGGTACATGCCCAAGAGAACATATCCACATAAAACCTGAGCATGAACATTCACAGTAGCCTTCTTCATATTAGCAGGAAAATGGAAACAACCCAAATGTCCATCCATTAACGAGTAAATAAAATGAAGGATCCAACAAAAAGAACCAACCTGAGTAAACCTTAAAAACAGTACACGAAGCGAGGAAGACCACATATTGTATGATTCCATTTAAATGCAATGTCCAGAATGGGGAAATCCATGGAGATAGAAGATTCTAGTAGCTCAGTGATTACTTAGAATTCTGGGGGGAAATGAGGAATGACTAATGGACATGGGGTTTCTTTGGAAGCTGACAAAATAATGTTAAATAGCCCATCTTTCCCATTTAGCCTTAGAGAAACTTCATTATAGAAGAATCATATATGATAAATGCAAGAGGTTTGATAGAAGCCAAAAATTCACTAACCCCTAATGAATTAATGGGTCCAGACAACATTCATCAATGGTTGCTAAAACCATTAGGTGAAAGATTGAAAGGAAGCCTTGTGATGGATGACAGCACCACGAGCCACCGATCAATCTGAAAATCACCCAAAGTGGAACAACCAGACATGGTAGCCAGAAAGAACACACTATCACCTCTGCAGTATTCCAGAGGGAAAAGCTTCGAATCAGAATCAAATCAAGTTTCTAGAAGTAACTAGACACCAGGGTATATCATCAGCCACATCCGGAATGGAGTAAATTCTATAATAAATATTCCTCAAATAAATGGCAAGAAGAAAGAAACCAAAAACAAGAGTCGATGTTAGAGAGTAAAAGAGACATCAACTAGATGCAATGTTGAATTCTGATCAAAACAACCTGTAGAAAGATACTTTTGAGACAGGAAAACTGAATGCATGCTGAATTTTGATATACTAGTAATTAAACACATCTTATTAATTTTGTTGAGTGACAATGATATTACGGTTTTCTTAATGTTAAAAAGATCTTATCTCTTAGAGATAAAGAACATTTTAAGTATTTACAAGTGAGATGACATAATTCCTTAAATTTGTTTTAAAATACTCCAACAAAAGAAATTTTTTTAAAAGGGTGAATGCATTATATATATATATATATATATATATATATATATATATATATATATATCATATACAAATATATCTTTCAAAATTTCCAAGTGTGCTTTATAATTTGAAAATAAGGTCTCTGGACTTTGCCCCTCTCCTCCTCTAAGACGATACATTTTATACATTATAATTTTGAGGCTGAGAAAATATATACTTACAAATAAAAACTTCCAAGAGATAACATAAATATTAAAATGAGAAGGTAAAAGTAAGGCTGCCTTCCTTGGAGCACAGCCTTACTCATTATATCCAGATAATACTGTTTTTTAAAAAAGATTTCTCCCCTCCCAGAAATATTTCAAACCTGCAGAAAAGTTCAAAAAACACTTCTATACCCTCAACCTAGATTTATCATAGGTCAACCGTTAACATTTGCTTTCTTTCTCTCTCATCATATACACATTTATTTTTGCTAAACATTTGAAAGTTGCAAACTTCATGGCACTTCACCCCTAGATACTCCTTCATGCATTGACTAAGAATGGGACATTTTCCTGCATGACCATAATATCGTTAGCACACCTAAGAAAATGAATACTGCCCGTCTGGCGTGGCTCAATGGTTAAGCATCGACCCATGAACCAGGAGTTCACGGTTGGATTCCTGGTCAGGGCACATGCCCAAGATGCAGGCTCGGTCCCCAGTGTGAGGTGTACAGGAGGCAGCCAATCAATGATTTTATCTCATCACTGATGTTTCTCTCTCACCCTCTTCCTTTCTCACTGAAATCAATAAAAATATATTTTTTTTTAAAGAAAATGCATTATTATTCCATGTCATCTATATGTCAAGCCCCTTGCCCAGACTGCCAATTTGGTCTCTCTCCTCATCCAAACTCCCAGCTGAAGTATTACTTGTAAGCCCTGTGCAGGTTAACTATTTTCTACGCTTAGCTATTGCCTTACAGCAGAGTTATCATCTCTTTAAAGAGCAGTCGCCAACCTTTCAGACCTCATGGATCACCAGTGGTCCATGGACCACCGGTTTCCAACCATTGCTTTAAAATGTTTGTTAGAATAGATACAAAATGTACTTAAGGTAAGTAATTGTAAACACTAGTGAACTCAACATCCAGTTTAAGAAAAAAAGAAGTTAGCAGTACCTTTGAAATCCACTTTCCCAGTCACATCAGTACCATCCTTGCCCAGAGATTACCATTATCAGATTTAATATTTCTCAACATTTCCTTCCCTTTGTTATTGTTTACATTTGTTTAGATTCCTACACAAATGGTATCGTTTAGCATGTTCTGGAATTTTATGTAAATGGACTCATTCTGTGTACATTTTCTGTAATGTGCTTTGTGGCTTACATTGTTCGTGAGAGGTGTATCATGTTATTCCATTTAG